CTCACTGCAGCCCACGGGTCTCTACAGTGGAGCAGATCTCCACCTGCAGCCTGTGGAGGACCCCACGCCAGAGCAGGTGGATGCTCAAAGCAGGCTGTGACCCCTTGGGAAGCCTGCACTAGAGCAAGCTCCTGGCAGGACCTGTGGATCCATGGAGAGAGGAACCCACACTGGAGCAGGTTTGCTGGCAGGACTTTTGACCCTGTGGGGACTCACACTGGAGCAGTCTGTTCCTGAAGGATGGCACCCCGTGTCAGGGACCCAGGTTGGAGCAGTTTGGGAAGAATTGCAGCCTGTGGGAAGGACTCCCATTGGAGAAGTTCATGGAGGACTGTCTCCCATGGGAGGGTCCCCATGCTGGAGCAGGGGAAGAGTGTGAGGAGTCCTCCCCCAGAGGAGGAAGGAGCAGCAGAGACAACATGTGATGAACTGACCACAACTCCCATTCACCATCTCCCTGTGCCACTGCAGGGGGAGAAGGTAGAGAAATTGGGAGTGAAGTTGAGCCTGGGAAGAAGGGAGCAGTGGGGGAAGGTGTTTTTAAAATTTGGTTTTATTTCTCATTACCCTATTCTGATTTGACTGGCAATAAATTTAATTAATTTCCCAAGTTGAGTCTGTTTTGTGTGTGACAGTAATTGCTGAATGATCTCCCTGTCCTTCTGACAGGGAAAGACCCATGAACCTTTCATTATTTTCTCTCCCCTGTCCAGCTGAGGAGGGGATTTACAGAGCAGTTTGGTGGGTGCCTGGTGTCCAGCCAGGCTCAACCCACCACAATAGGTTAGAGGTGACAATTACGGGCCTCATATAACAAGTGAAGTCGTCATGATTCACAGATTTAATTATGTCTCATCTATTCTTGGTGGTCATAGCACAATTCTGGTCGGATGACTTTGTTCTTAAAAAGAAATATGCAGCTTTTGCTGCTTGGGAATCCTAAATTAGCATGTCCTATGGTTTGTTGGGTCAATGGCTAGCTAAGGGATAAGGTGCATGAGGTGGGTCTCAAATTGTTCCCTACCATATAGTTCATGCTCACTTAAGAAACCTTTTAAGTTGTTATTGGATAATGTTGCTTGCCCAAGGGCATTTTTTTGTGCTTGGTTTTTGGGGGTTTGTTGTGGTTTTTTTTTTTGCAAGACCCATTTGGCTTTCAGCAAGGAAAATGTTCCCAGCCCTCATTTTTATCATAAATCACAGTAAATACGCACAATGTACCACGTAGCCAAGATTTGCAAAATGCTTCACAATAGCTGCTGTTTGAAGACAAAAGCCAATCCTTAATGATTGATAATAGGATTGAAACTATGGGACTGTTTCTCAACCTAAATACAGCTCAATACTGTGCAAACAGAGAAAAATGAGGTAAGGTGATGAATCAGTTAGAGGTATAAAGTTAACATGCACGAACTTCAATGTCACTGTGGACACTTCTATTCAGGAATGAAGGGGCTTCTGCCTTTTCTGAATAGCCCTGTGTGGGTGAGGCTGTGGACAGTACAGAATAGTGCTGTGGGACACGGTAATTACTTGATATGCCACAGGGGAGATGGGAAGACAAAGTCTTGCATTAAGAGCACAGGGACCGCAGAGCAACTTTCCACACACTGTCCGCTCCTCTGAATATATGGATATATCCGCACATGGTAATAAGCAAAAAATAAGGCATAGTCTCAGATCATGAGTCAAGCCACAGCATTCAAATGCCAGAAATTTTTCTCCCAAGGCACATGCTCTTCTGGCCGCTTGCATCCAGCTCCCAGTTTCATTGTGCTCCCTGAATGGTGAAAAGGACTTTGTCCAGGGAGCTGTGGATACAGACTATAACGCTGCAGTAATGAGCACCAGTGCAAGAGCCCCAGGAGAGGAGACAGGCAGACAGTTGCTTTGTATTCTGAATCAGTACTGCAGAAAGCTTTCTGGTCCTAGCAACACTAATCAAAATGGAGTATCAGCAGGAGGAACGTGGAGTAGGTGCAGCAGTATGGCTAGCATGATGCTCTAATTAACTGCAAGATTAGTAGTGATGTCCTAAGTCCTCATGAAATGAGCTATGGAATTTATAAACAGAGGAGAAATCTCCACCTATTAACTGCCCATATGCTGAATACCTAAAGCTAGTAAGCTCTTTAATACTACTGAGAAC